TGCATAAGAACTATCATAATACTAGTTTTTACAGCATCTATTTCAATGGTGGATTCTCTAGTGAGGTTTGGTAAGGTTAACACTAGTGCAGTGGTTATAGTTGTCTTGAGTTTGTTGAGGGCTTTAGTAGTTTGGTTAGTTCATAGAAAGTTATCTTTTTAGAGCAATACTCGTTAAAGGTTTTCTAAGTACTTCATAACCTTTTATAATCATTCTATAATATCCTATCAAACCTAAAAATCCCCTTAACTATTTTAGATTCTTAAAAATAAGCCAATCAACCATAGTTTGAACATTTTTAGGATCACTAGAGACACCATCAGTTGAGATGTGAGATGTAATTCTTTAAGTACTTAATCTTAATACTACCAAAGACACATTTACTTAATTTAGCAAATAGTTTATGGTAGTGTAGTAGGGTCGATACTATTTTTAAATGGATAAGGTGATCCACTAAGGAGCAATTGTATATTAGAATATCATCAAAAAGCACCAATACAAACTTCCTCAAATGATGCCTAAATATATCATTTATTAGACTTTGAAAAGTAATAAGGGCATTAGTGAGACTAAAAGGCATGACTAAGAATTCATAATGAACTGGAGCCTAACATATGTTTGGTGCGAAAATGTGTGTTTTTACTCTCTTTCACCATTTGGCTATATCTTTTTTGTTAGTACGAAATGTGACAATATACCCCATGTGCTACCTTTTCTCATTCTCGCACATTTTCATCTAGTCATTTATCAGCCTAGCTTTCAACTTTTTAGCTATGGTAGCACATTGTGTAGGCTCGATTCAAAATAGCATGATAGAATTTTCTTAGATGTTCCAAGTTTTTATTCTTGAATATGCTTTGCTTAATTACCTCTCTTCATCTTCATGGGAGTCTTGGGGTTGCCTTTGTAGTTCTATTCTCACCAAGTTATGCTTAAAGGTTTTTGGCAAGAAGGATTCATGGCTATTACCGTAATTGGTGTAACAAATATCGAGTCAATTAAGGTAATGCAACCAATAACGAAATCTAGTTCAACATAACTCTAATATAGTATGTTTCTAATGAGATGTCTTTAGTTGAAATTAGTCTAAACTTGTATGTTGTACGACTTTTCATTCAACCAAAACTTTGAACAAACCAACCAAGGAAATAGATACTAAATTCGAACCTCTAGAGGAATGAAAAGAAAAACAGGATGGCATTGCATTATCTATCCCAATCAAATGGTACCAACTCATCCTCCATGTCATCACAATATACCAGCGACATTCTTGAGGAGGTTCGAAGGCAATACGAGGAGGCGATGAAGGGGATGCCGTCCAAACAAGACGATTTGCATAACATTGTCACACGAGTAATAAAGTACCATACAAGGACTGCAGTCTTTGTATGATTCCCTTGCCTCAATGTTGAATAGGCCGGCATAGATGTCTAGGTAGCTTACGGATCCACCCACTAACCGAGGACTCTATTGTCCCTCCCACGAAGCCCTAGAAAGGGGTAGGGGATTAGATGATAAAGATGAAGATCGGGAGTGACATTTCATTTTTTATTTATTTGTTTTTTCGTTTTTTTTCTTACGTACTAACAAATATTTTTTTGTTAATATTAATTTAAATTTAATTTATAATATTTAAATTTTAATAAAAAAATTAAATTTTTATAATACATTGTTTGTTCTAATTGTTAATTACTACCGAGAATATCACAAATTTAAAAACTAACAAAAAAATATCAATTTTTTTAAAAAAATTATTAAAATTAGTGATGGATTAGCACTGGAATTTTTTTACATTTTGTGACGTAACAATGACAGAACTAAATTAGCTTTGGATATTAATGATAAAATATCAATCGTTAATTAGTGATGGATTTAACGATGGAATAGTGACACATTATTTGATGGGAAGATGAAGTTTTCAATGATCAATTAGCGATGGAATATTGAGATTTAATGATGAAAAAGCGAGTTATGAAATTAGCGACGGATACTATTTGTCCGTCGTCAGGGTTAGCGATAAGCGTTTTAGTGATGGATTTTTTTGATCGCAAATCCATCACTAAATGCTTTTAGTGACAGATTTGCCCTTAATAGCGATGGATTTGTCCATCGCTAAATGGCGGTTTTCTTGTAGTGTAATTATTTAGGAGGTTTTTGGTCAAGGGTATTACACTTTTCTTTACAACTTTTATCTAGTTATTATTATTATCATTAATTTGCAGTCATTTAGAACTTCCATTATATATGCTCTTTAGTGCAAGTGATTCTTTCTTTAACTATCTTTCCATAATACCTACATTGCAACTTGCTTGTACTACGTACCATCTAACGAATTGACAAATTTGCATCCAATGTCTCCACTTTCGGATAATTGTTGTTCTACTTTGTTTTTCCTATTTGGTGCTATTTTTAAGTACCTAGTATGTTAGGAAAATAAAATAAATAATGCAAGTAGTTAACTTAAAGATCATGAGAATTGTGAAGGATATTCATAATATTAAATTACAATTTTTTTTTCACAATATTAATTAATACTAGATCATCAACAACATTCAATAGTTAAATTGAAAAAAAAATTGAAAATTAAAATATAGACATAACTTTTTTTATAGAAACTAATAACAAAATTCAATCTGAAATTAAAGAAAAAAACGATGAAATCAACTTAAAATAACAAAGTCTATGTATAATACAAGAGATAGTAACAATAATTCAAGCTCAATTTAATAGAAATCTTAATGAATTATCTATAAATTAATAATAGCAATTATTTTTTTTAAAATAGTTTGAGTTTAAAATTACCATTATGAATTCTCCACTTTTCAAGCAAATATTTAAAAAAATTGTGTGATTTGGTAAGAAAATAGAGTTTAAAGTATTCAATAGTTATGTTAATTAATACTAAATTATCTATAATATTCAATAGGTATATTAACAAAATAAAAAATAAATTCTAAATTCTAAATACATAAGAAACTTTTTAATGAAAACTAAAAATAAAATTTAATCTAAAATTAAAAAAAAAAATAGATTGATGAGATTAACTTAAAAATAACAAAGTCCTTATCTATTACAAGAGTTGGAAACAATAATTCAATTTAATATAAATTTTAATGGATTATTTATAAAAATAATAATATTAATTAATTTTGAATACTAACAAAAACAAAAAAAAAAGTAAAATTAGTTTGAATTGAAAATTACCTTTATGAATTTTTCACTTTCCAAGTAAATTTTTAAACCTTTTTACGTGATTTTGTAAGAAAATAAAGTTGAAAACGAATGGAATGTCTTAAAATTATATGTTGAAAGCTTGAAGAATGAGGCCTGTACTTAAGAAGATTGATGAAGGCATGAATTAAAACTAACATTGAAAATGACATGATATAAATACGAAGTCAAAAGTGAATGGTGCAATTTTTTCTTACGGATTTCATATATACATTTGATTGATTGCACTTAACCAAATTCAAACCTGTAAAGATTGAGATGAATAATAGAAAAGAGTTAGCCTCTTAGATTAAAGTAAATAATAGTTTAATTGGCTTTTTTTTTTTTTTTTGCTTGTCTAATGGGCCTGCAAAGTGCGAAGAATATAGATTTTTTTCAAGCCTGTAAAATGTGGATAACAGGGATAAAAAGGCTGGAAAAAGGGACAAAATCATGTGGTAGCTACAGAGGCTGAAAGTTGTTTTTTTATTTTTATTTTTTGATATAGCACAAATATATAATGACAAATGGAGATAGTATATAATACTATTATTATTCACCATTATATGTATATAATCTATCATGGCAAATAAGATGTGTTCTGAAACCGTTATATAAAGACTATTAGGTTATGTGAAGATAGTTATTTTAATTTATTGCTGTAATTAGCTTCTTTTAGTGTAGATTATGTTGTTGTCTTCTCTTATGATTGCTGTATAGAATGGTTTAATTGGTTTCTTTTTCTATATAGACAATGCTTGAAAAATAAGGAGAGGCACGAGGGAGTTATATAATTAATTTTTAGCATCTCAAATGACAATATTTTTTAAGTCATAAATGCTTTTGAAGGATATTTTAGACATTATAAAATTATAATGATAAACTTGTAATAATTTATATTTTGTTTTAATGAAAATTTGCTTCTATAACAAAATCAAAATGCAAGGTATTTTCATTCAATATATAAAATGTAAAGTGTAATTTATGAAAATATAGAGTGCAAAATATAATTTATCAAATTCATGTTGAATAAAAATAATTTATCTATTCAATTGTAATGTTGAAATTGAATTCAATTGATATATTTGTCAAATTCATGTGTTTGGAACAAAAATCTTTCAACTAAATTAAATCCAAGCATATATATAGCAAGCATGATAGATTAAGATAACTTCAAAAATAACAAATCTAATATGGTACAACTTAATTTTCATCTCCACCAATTCATAATTTCACAAACACAAATCACAATTTTAGAAATCTTTTAATTTATCTAAAATTATAGATCCTTCTAGTTATTTATCAAAATTAAAGCTAATATATGCGGTCTGGAGACATTCTTACTGCTGAATTTTTTTAAAAATGAAGCAGGTATCTTTGAGTTGTAAAAAAAAAAAAAAAGGGTTTTTTGTGTACTATTACTGCGAAACTTTAACTTTATTAAAGTGAATTTGTAACAAATAAGAGGGATCTCTCTGATTTATTTTTGTATGGATTTAAGAGATTGGATTCCACATGGAATTCAAATCAGTACCCTAAAAAAACCTTCCAACTATAAAAATTGAATTAGAGCTCCAAACAACCTAAATTACACCACACAAATCGTGATTCTTTTAATCCGTTCTGATTTAAGAAATCCAGCATGACAACATAAACCGACAGGAGGCCTATATATAAATAAACACAATACCTCGACATCCTGTCTTGGAAGAGGCCTAAGCACTCTCCGTCTTTGTTTCTTGTTTTGTCACAAACTACTGTCCTTTTTTTTTTCCTCTCTGGATTCGTTCATGGCTACTATCGTTGATTATGATTGCCGTGTTAGAATACTACCACAAGACAATCAACAACCGAAACACGTTAATGAGGAATCCCTGCGCCAGACAGATGCAACGTTCCCTGTGAAGTTCTTTCTCTCTAAGATCCATCTTCTCATTGACTCTTCTCTGAGATGGATGCATTTTCCGGAAAGAGGACCTCAATTAATAAACAGAAAAGTTGCTCATGTCCCTGTAAAAGATTCACTGCTTGATCACATTCAAGATTTCAAAGAGATCTTGACTGTCATGGGAATCCCTCAAAATAACCAACCAGATATGCTACAAGAAATTGAATCCGTGGCTCGGAGGATGGATTCTTATGACGGCGTCTACTTGGAGGTCAAGATAATGGAGGCGAACCATCAAGAAATTCGTCGTCGTGTAGAAGAAGATGATATAGCTAGAGCTGAGAGGGAGTCAATGGAGATCGAAGCTAGACCGATCCCGGCTACCGAGTCGTCTATTGATGGATTGGAACGAGTGGTTTTTGATGGTTTAGGGTTAGCCAGAGACTGCACTGTTTGCATGGAAGAGATTGTATCAGGAAGCCAAGCGATTCGGATGCCGTGCTCGCATGTCTATCACTCAGAATGCATTGTTCAGTGGTTGCAGACTAGCCACTTGTGTCCACTTTGCCGCTATCACATGCCCTGTGAATTCTGATCTTGTTTGGTAGTAGCTTTTCTTTATCCCTTTTGTTTTTAGGCACTTTAGTTAGTAAGGACAGTAAGGATTATTATTTTTTCTTTTTTTATCATTGTATGTAAGTTTCAAAACAGTTTAATTATAAATAAAGCTATGATTTTATCAATTTCTTTTTTCTTTCTTCATAAATAGTTGCAAAAATTTAAATCTGATCAATGGGAATTAGTTTGCTTAATTACAAGCAATAGACGACTATATGTATATCTTGTATGGTAATTAATTCAAGGATTCTGAATTCACAAATCTGCATAACGATCGATAATGATAAATCGGATATAATGCTAGAACATAAATAACATCCTTCTCCAGTACTGATGTCTAGATAAACAGACAATCAATCTTCTTGTTCCCTTTTCATGTCATGAAATTCCAAGAACAAGAACAAAGGTTACAGATGGATTAATGCCAATTAAGGCTTAACCTAAAGTGAAAACAAACCATCATCCAAATAGGAAAAAGGAGTACATATCTTCCTTAATCGTGCATAGCCACCATTCCTCACCTTTTACAGGAGTAAACTGACAAATTTTGGTCAGCTTAACGGAAGTAGGGAATGCAGAGTTTAAAATCGTCTTTGTTCGGTAGCGGAGAGTTCATTTTCAGCCAAAACATTATAAAAGGCTCTATATGACGAAATTTGAAGATGGCCTCTAAAGATGATCTTTAGCCTTCAACATAATCTTGTTCGCCAATAATAAAAATATGTACGGTAATTAAATGTCTCCATCGCCATGGTAGAAGAAGTCAGAGGAGTAAAGAAAAATGTATGAATGACCGGGAAGTCATCGGTCAATCCTGGATGGAAGCATTATTGTTCTTTTAATATCTTAGCTCCGAAGGTAGGTGTCCAAACCGAGGATCAACGGCTAACACCACATACTCCAATACATCAATTAGGAGAGTTGCTCCAACTATTTGTTGCTTGCTGATATTTTGGGGCTGTACTATATTGCAGTTTTTCAATGCTGTTGCTTCTGGTGCTACTAGTACCATTTCACGGGGGCAAGTAACCACCAGGTCACAGACCATTATATCTGCTGGTGGGAGCTTTGCGTTAGGCTTCTTCACGCCGGGACGTTCCCAAAATGTTTATGTTGGAATATGGTATGAGTAAATTCCACAGCTGTATTATGGGTTGCCAATAGAGATTACGCACTCACTAGTCCCCCTGTTCTTACCATCAACACGGGGGAATCTAGTGATCATGGATGGAAGAGTCTCCTTTATGGTAACTAACATATCAGTAAGCCAGAACACAAGTGCCAAACTTTTGGATTCGGGAAATCTTATACTAGAAGATGGGTAGTGAGATATATTGTGGCAGAGAGTTGATGATCCTGCAAATAACTTTCTCCCTGGAATGAAGCTTGGTTATAGCAGAAAGACTGGAAAACAGTGGTCTTTTATGTTGTGGAGAAATTCAGAACATCCTGGCCTTTGGGTTTTTCAGCTGCAAATTGATCCTAAACAGCTCTCTAGTCTTCTCTTTGTGCGGGACTCAGGGTTACTAGTTTCAGAATTTCGGAAGAGCGTCCCTTCTCCAGAATTCCTGAATTTTCTTTGAGGTATATATTTGATTTCTCTTTTAGCTTTCGCAGCAATGAAAATGAGTCCTACATCACCTACGGTTTCCAAAATTCATCAATCCTGACTAGATTTTTAGTACAAGAACCTGGAGCGATAGGACTACTATCATGGTTAGAGAGTGCTAATATAACACATGGGTACTTTTCTGTGCTTATCCAAGAACAGAATGTAAATGTCAACTTTATAGATACTGAGGTTCATTCAGCTGCTGCAGTTACGAACTGAATCCAGTTCTCAGTGCTTGCCTGGTTTTAAACCATCTGGAAGATGGATGCAAGAAGACTTCTATGGTGGGTGTGCGAGGAGAATGGCATTGCTGTGTGAAAACAACACTACTCTAGAGGTAGTTTTTCAAATCAAAATTAGTCAGTCTTAAAAAAGACAACAAAAATAATTGTTGAAGTCAGGAAGTTTGACTCTCTTTGCTAAGATTCATCCTCTTCCTAATTCAGGAAAAAAAGGCTTGTACGGATAATTGCAATAGTTGTTGCTGTGGCAGTGTGCCAGTGCCCCGTTTTGCTTTCTTGATTATCTAGTATGGATGGAGGTAAAAACTCAAAGAGAGAGGTGTTCTATTTTCCTTGATTTTCTTATTTTAAACCTCTATGTGCACGTAATATATGCACAATAGCATTTCAGTGTTGACAAAGAAGAGAGCAGGAAAAAAACCAGGATTTGTTACTATTTTGATATTGATATGAGCATAGCAGAAAGAAACATGGAACTCAATAATGGTTGGAAATGGTAGATGTCATGATGCTTGGTTGCCATTATTCAGCTTTGCGAGTGTATATCCAGCACTCCAGAAAACTTCTCTAAAGAGAATAAGCTAGGGGAAGGTGGTTTTGAAGTTGTTTACAAGGTACAGTTTAACAGCTAACCAATTAAAAGTGAAAAATGTTTATGAGGTTCAGTGGCAAGGATATTTTCAAATTCGCGTATTAAGCTCGAACTACGAAGTATATGTAGCCAAATATTTCAATTCAGGGAAAACTGCACAATGGACGACGAGTAGCCGTAAGAAGGCTTTCAAGGCTGCCAGGGCAATGGATAGAAGAGCTATAAAACGAGTCGATGTTTATAGCTAAGCTCCAAAACAGGAACTTTGCTAGACTCTTGGGTTGCTGTACAGAAGGCAGTGAAAAGATACAGATATACGAGTATATGCCGAACAAGAGCGCTAAAGATTAATATAAATTATATTCTGGAGCCTCACCAATTAGTTTAATTTTTTGGATGCGATCGTTCTTTAATATGGTGTTAGAGCTTGGTTGACCATATGGTCCCGAGTCCAAGTCTCACCATCCCCGATTTCTCAAGTATTAAGCATACAGCAATGTAGATTTGTATAAGTTTCAAGCCTAAATGTTGGGACTTTTACTTGAGGGGGTATGTTAGAGACTAATATAAATTATATTCTGAGACCTCACCTATCCATTTAAGCTTTTGGGTGAGATGGTCATTTAATAAAGAGCTTGGATTCTTTCCTTTGTGTTATGTTATTTACTGATTTCTGATATGAGATTATTACGTGTCAACTTCCTGACAATGCTATGTCAAATTTTAACCCAATATTGTTTGATTTATAAAGTTGTGGTCTTGCAATATATCCGACCAGGCGAGGTCTATTAGGTTGGGATATACGTGTTCGCATCATTGAAGGGATTGCTCAAGGGGTCATATGTACCTTTATCAAAATTCCAGATTGAGGATTATTCGCAGAGATTTGAAGGTTAGTAATATTTTGTTGGACTGTAACATGAACCCCAAAAATCTGATTTTGGCTTGGCAAGAATGTTAGGTGGCAATGAGTCGCAAGCAAATACTAACTGGATTTGTTGGAACATAGTAGGTACATTGATATCTGCTAAGTCATCTCAGATTCATACTTCCTTGCACAAATGTTTCGTTTCTTTATCATAAAACCATCCAAGATACTAAGACATTTGATAAAATGATGAATTTTAGTGGTTATTCGTCGCCTGAGTATGCCGTCGAAGGTCTCTTCTCCAAAAAGTTGGATGTGTTTAGCTTTGGTGTTGCTTTTGGAGGTATTGGTGGCAAAAAGAATACTGGATTTCGTCAGAGCGACTCCCTTAATCTTCTTCGGCATGTAAATGACAGATACGCTCATCTCTTTTTGCTTTTTTTCGATTCCATTGTATTCTGTCATCCCTCTGTCTGTCCTGATTCATTGTTGATTCTCATATTTTCCTCCAGGCATGGGGAACTGTGAAAAAATGATAGAGCTCTGGACCTGATGGATCCAATTTTGTAAGATCAAGAGTCAAACCATATGCTGATATGATACATTAATGTGGCCCTTTTGTGCGTTCAAGAAATTGCAGCTGATAGACCAAGCATGTCTCAATGCTTACCAACGAGCTAATAGCTCTGCCTGTCCCTAAACAGCCTGCTTTCTCCATTATATGAGGTCTGAATAGTTCAAACCCAGATATATGCAAGCTCGAAGCATGATCGGTAAATGGCATTACACTTGCAACACTGGAAGCTCGATAGATTCTGGACCAGAATTCCAATGCTTTATTTTATAATGCATCTGTAAATTGGTTCATGGGGTATCAGTTCATAGAAGTTGTGGTTGGAAACTTCTAACTATAGTACCTGGAACATTTTCTGACTTGCGTAGGTTGTCAACCCAAATTTGATTGTAATGGCCTTGAAATCAGGAACAGGTAGGGTTCTAATTCCAAACACCATCAGGAACAGGTAGGGTTCTAAGTTCAAATACCATCAGGAACAGAATAGATTTCCAAGTTCAAACACCATCAGGTTGCTCGTGAATCTTACGAGAGTGTTCTACAGTTCAGGAAAATGTGAAAGTGGGAAGCCAAGAAGATGCGAGATGTTGTCGATTACGAGCATTATATCATTTTAATCAAGGTAGGGATTGACACCGACACAGGACAATTGTATCAACAAAGGTCAGCATAGTGGGGAATATAAGATGCAACCAGGAAATGCAGAATGTGATGAACATATGATTTATCAGTGCAAAATAATGAAGTTCGTCTCACATTCATAATGATTCTATTACGAAAAAACATAGAAGATCGATACAGGATGAATCAACTGCTGGCCTAGAAGAAGATGAATAGAGTTCTTTGCTCCTTTTGGTGGGGCCCCTTCGTCCAGAACTGGACCTTTAAGTCCATTCACAAAGTCTTTCAAGTCACTAATTTCACATTTCTGAGTGAGCTCAGAAATTATCTGAGTAAGTGAAGCAATTAATTCTTCCATTTTTTTGAGGTCTGTATTTCCTTTCGCCATAGTCATTTCCTTCTTCTTCTCCACAGGTGCTAAGAAATTCTCTGATACGAAATTATGCAGTTCCCAATTCCACAATGAAG